CAAAGCAGCGGGCAGAGAATGGTCGGGTCACACGCCAGGTCAACAACAGAAGATCAGATCCTATAGGGGGTATTCAGGAGAGAGGTCAGGCAAGCCAGGGGTCAGAACAGGAGAGTAGAGCACAGTCAGGAAACAATCTGGGTCAGCAACTTCTCAGAAACACAGGTACACAGGTTCAATAACACAGGGAGACCAAACGGTAACCAGTGACAGCTCAGGGGGGAATTAAATATCACGCCCTGCGCTGTCATTGGCGCCAGGCGTACACCCTAGTGCACATGCGCGAGCTACGTCACCGCGGCTGGCCAGGACCCGGTGCCCGCATCCCCGCATGAGACGGTGCACTGCGCCTGCGCCGGGACCAGCGCCACGGCGATCCTTGACATTGCCCCCCCTTACGGGCAACCTCCGGGTGCCCAACTGATCTCTCCGTCATGGGTGGTCACAAAAAAACTCCCGGATAAGTCTAGGGGCATGAACATTTTGGGCCGGTTCCCAGGAATTCTCCTCTGGACCATAGCCCTTCCATTTAATCAAGAACTGGGTCTGGCCCCCCCTCCTTCAGCAATTTAGGATTGCTTCTGCCTCAAATTCTTGCTGTTCTTCAATGGTTATGGCTTCCGGGGGGTCTGGACTCCCGATCCGGGAATGGATCCGGGATAACTGGTTTCAGCAGCGGTACATGAAATACCGGGTGGGTCTTGAAGGTCTCTGGAAGAATAAGCTCATACGCCACTTTGTTGATCATTCGCTTCACACGAAAAGGACCCACAAACTTTGGTCCAAATTTTTTTCGAAGGACACAACATTTTCAGGTTCGTTGTTGCCAACCAGACCTTGTCCCCAGGTTGCAACGCCAGTTCCCCCCTTCGTTTCTTATCAAAGGCCCTTTTGTTGTCTTCCTGGGCTCTAGAAATAGCTTCCTGAAGTAGCTTGTTATTGGTAGAGAAGAAGGAGAGCGTGTTTTGAGTAGCTCGAACTGAACTCTCGGCGACCAGATCGGGAAGAAAAATGGGGTGAAACCCGTAATTTGCAAAAAAAGGGGATTGCCCCATGGCTGAATGATTTGCCTTATTGTAGGCGAATTCTGCCAAGGGCAAGAGTGCCAGCCAATTATCCTGCAGGAAGGACGTGTAGCATCTCAGGTACTGTTCCAGCGTCTGGTTAGTCCTTTCCGTCTGCCCATTGGTCTGTGGGTGAAAAGCGGAGGAGAGGGACAATCTGATACCCAATGCCTTGCATAGAGCTTTCCAGAACTTGGAGGTAAACTGAACTCCTCGGTCCGAGACGATATCTTCCGGAACTCCGTGTAACCTTACCCCTTCCCGTGTGAAGATCTGTGCAGTCTCCAACGCCGAAGGTGTATTCCTCAGGGGTAAGAATTGGGACATTTTTGACAGACGGTCAATGATCACGAGGATTGCTGTGTGGCCCTGGGATGGGGGCAGTTCGACTATGAAGTCCATTGCAATCATTTGCCATGGCCGATTGGGTATAGGTAGGGGGCGTAGCAGCCCCCAGGCCTTGCTTCTAGGAGGTTTGTTCCTTTGACAGATGGCACAGGATTTGACGTAACGTTCACAGTCTTTGGTCATGCTTGGCCACCAGAATGTGCGTTTGAGCAGATCTAGAGTCTTTGCCAGCCCGAAGTGCCCTGCCATCGGATGATCGTGGCAATGTCCCAGGACCAGTGTTCAGACTTCTTCAGGCACCATGATTAACCCTTCTTTCCATAACAGTCCTCCCTTGTTCTGGAGGGGCACCCCAGGTGGGGTTGACATCGCCATAGATGCGTCTTGTAATTTAGAACAAAGTTGTTTGGAGGGCCAGGAAGTTCCCTGAAGACAAGATGGTATCAGGCCTTGGCTCTTCCTTGGGATCTTCAAACATGCGGGAGAGCACGTCGGGCTTCGTGTTCTTGGAACCAGGTCTGTACATTATGTGAAAGGACAATCGAGAGAAAAAGAGCGCCCACCTCGCCTGGCGTGGTTGTAGGCGCTTTGCCCGTCCTCAGATATTCTAAGTTCTTATGGTCTGTGAAGATCAAGATCGGATGCGTGGCTCCTTCCAACAGATATCTCCATTCCTCCAGTGCTGTTTTAATGGCCAACAGTTCTCGATCGCCAATGTCATAGTTCCTTTCGGCCAGAGTAAGCTTCCTTGAAAAGAATGCCACAGGGTGCAGAAGTTCCTTGGTGCCTTTCCTCTGAGACAGGATGGACCCTACCGCATTTTCTGATGCGTCCACTTCCAGAACATAAGGCAGAGATGCATCCGGATGACCGAGAATGGGTGCCGTGGTGAACAACTTTTTCAGAGACTCAAAGGCTTCCTGGGCCTCAGGTGTCCATTTATAATGGGTTCCTTGTTTGGTTAATTGCGTTATGGGGAAGACCAGACCTGAGAAGTTCTTAATAAACTTTCTGTAGAAGTTCGCAAATCCAACAAAGCGTTGGACGCCCTTCTTATCTGTGGGAATTGGCCAATCCAGAATTGCCAAGACCTTTTGAGGGTCCATCGCGACCCCCGTGGTGGAGATGATCAGTCCCAAAAAGGCAATACTGCACTGTTCAAAACTGCACTTGTCAGCCTTAGTGTACAGCCCGTGTAGGCGTAAACGCTCCAATACCTTTGCCACATGATCTCTATGAATCTCAAGTGAGGGTGAGAATATTAATATGTCATCTAGATAGACGATGACAAAGACATCGAGGTAGTCCCTGAATATGTTATTGACAAAATGTTGGAACGTGGCCGGGGCATTGCAGAGACCAAATGGCATGACCAGGTACTCAAAATGACCAAAACGAGTGCGAAAAGCTGTTTTCCACTCATCCCCCTCCCTTATGCGAACCAGGTTGTAAGCACCTCTCAAATCTAATTTCGTAAAAATAGCTGCAGATTTCAGGCTCTGGAAGAGTTCTGGAACCAGAGGTAAAGGATAGCGATTTTTAATCGTGACCTTATTTAACTCGCGGTAGTCAGTGCAGGGTCATAGGGATTTATTCTTCTTTTCTACAAAAAAAATCCCAGCCCCCGCTGGTGAGGTGGAGGGACGGATGAGCCCTTTTTGGAGGTTCTCATCAATGTAGTCCTTGAGAGCCCCCAATTCTAATTCGGACAAAGGAAAAATTTGGCCGAATGGAATTTCGGAACCGGGGTAACAAGTCAATGGGGCAATCATACGGGCGGTGAGGGGGCAGGGAATCTGCCCCCCGTTTGCTGAAGATGTCTAGGTAGCCATGATAGGCTGCTGGAATGACCTGTCTTAAGTTAGTGTCCCCTTCAGAGCACAGAAGAACTTGGGGAGTTGCTGGGCCCGAAGCGCGACAGTGTTCCTGACAGTATGACGAGCGGAACAGAACAGACCCGGTCTCCCAGTCAATTTGGGGATTGTGGGCCCGCAACCAAGGGAGCCACAAAATGACTGGGAAAAGGGGTGACACGATGGCGTCTAAACGGAGGAGTTCCAGATGCTGGCCTGCTATTGCAGTGGGAATAAGGGAGGTCTCCTGATCAAGCAACCCTGACTTAATCTGGGAACCATCAGCCAGAAATATGTTAAAGCCCTGTTTCCTGGGCTGTAGGGGAATCCCCTGCTGGCGTGCGAAGTTTAGATCCAGAAAGCATCTGCATGCCCCCCGAGTCAATTAAGGCTGTCACCTCCACGATTCTTCCTGGAAGCTGGAAGGAGAGGGGTACAGCTAAGTAACTGGACTGTCTAACATCCCCAACAGACAAAGAAGAAAAAGAAGAAGTAGACGTACTCGCTTTCAGAGGACAGGATCGTACCATGTGACCGGCTTCTCCACAGTAGAGGCAGAGGTTCTTGGATCATCTTTGCTGGCGTTCCTCGGGGGATAGCGTAGGCCAAGCCAGACCCAGCTGCATGGGTTCTGGGGTGTCCGCGGGAGCTGGAGTCTGGTTATCCACTGCTGTAGGTTGGCCTGCACCACGGACCGGGGCCCATGTACTTCCCTGACACTGGCTGGACCTCTCAAACCTGCGCTCCCGCAATCTGCGGTCGATTTGGATTGCTAGGGAAATGAGATCTTCCAGGGACTCAGGCAGGCCCACTCGGGCCAGCTCATCCTTTAGAGCTTCAGAGAGCCCAATGCAGAACTGGTGGCGTAGGGCAGCATCGTTCCACCGTGTATCTCCCATCCATCGCCTAAACTCAGAAGGATACTCTTCCTCCGCCCGGCGGCCTTGTCTAAGTGAGTATAGGGCCGATTCGGCGGAAGCCGCCCGCTGCGGATCATCGTAAAGAATGGCCATTGCTTCAAAAAAATCTTTTACCGACTCAAGGTGCGGGTCATGGTTCTCCATTAAACGATGGGCCCGGTCCTGGGGTTCGTCCTGGAGTAACGAAATTATGAACCCCACCTTAACTGACTCTGTCGTGAATGTGCGTGGTTGCAGATTGAAAAATAGGAGACAGGAGTTCCGGAAGGCCCTGAAACGTGCACGGTCTCCGCGGAAGCGTTCCGGCAGGGGTACACGGGGGTTCGGCCATAGGTGGTGTGGCAGAAGCCCCCGTGGCTGGCCCAGGAGCTTCCCCAGCCGGGGGAGCAGAGACTGGGACCTGGGAGGTAGTGTCAGATACCGTAAATGTCTTAAAGCGATTTTCCAGATGCGTATATTTATCCTGTAAGGCCGAGACGGCCTGAGTCAGGGCCGCCAAGTGCCAGCATATGTCTTCCAGCAGGGAGGACCCTCCTCCAGGCTCAGTCATGGCCGTTTGGTACTGTAAGGTACCTCCTGGCAGCACCTCTAGCAGCCCACTGGTCAGGCTTCCCCAGAGCGCGGAGTCTAAGTTCAGGTTCACTTGTTCACCAGGGCCCCTGATGGTGGGGATGGACTTGGAGTGTACCGAAACCAGGTCGCGGCTGCTGGGTATACCCACCAGTGGTAGAGGGGTTCACCAGAGGTCCTTGCAGGCTGAGAGCCTGATGTGAGGAGGCCGGGAGACCCCGACGGGATGGATGAGCGAGTGCAGGGTCAGACAAGCTGAGTCGGCAGCCGTGGGGTCGGTGCGGTACAAAGCAGCGGGCAGAGAATGGTCGGGTCACATGCCAGGTCAGTAACAGAAGATCAGATCCTATAGGGGGCATCCAGGAGAGAGGTCAGGCAAGCCAGGGGTCAGAACAGGAGAGTACAGCACAGTCAGGAACAATCCGGGTCAGCAACTTATCAGAAACACAGGTACACAGGTTCCGGAACACAGGGAGACCAAACGGCAACCAGTGACAGCTCAGGGGGGATTTAAATATCGCTCCCAGCGCTGTCATTGGCGCCAGGCGCGCACCCGTGGACCCTAGTGCACATGCGCGAGCTACGTCGCCACGGCTGGCCAGGACCCGGTGCCCGCATCCCCGTACAAGACGGTGCACTGCGCCTGTGCCGGGACCAGCTCCGCGGCGATCTCTGACACTACCACCGTGCTCAAGGAGCCACAGCAATTCCTGCAAGCCAGAAACCAACACGCCCAGACCCGCATCAAAACCCGACGGGGAAGCACCAATATCCGCCACCTTATGGGAAAAGGCCACGCCACCATCCGGAGAAGATGCCGCTAAAGCGGTGGCTCCACCCCCTAACAGATCCCGCAAAGCTGAACAGAAAGAGAAAGAAGAACCAAAAAACATTCAACTCACCAGGCCGCCCAGGAGAGGTCCCATCAGCCGCAGGTCCGGACTCCAAAGCCGCCGAGCGGCCGGCCGCCGCACCCACATCGGATCCAGATAGCTCGCCCTCAGAACAGACCTGTTCTCTGTGCCGGTTGGATGGCCTCCCAGTCCTAGGAGCCACGGGTCCTGCTGGTCTGTGCTGCTAACGGATCACCGTTCAGCCATTATTATTATTACATCGAGTTTATATAGCGTCAAAGGATTTGCTCAGCGCTGTACAATAGAGGGGGGGACAATACATGAAACAGTACAACAACTACAAACAGCACACGAGGGGTTAGAGGGCTCTACTCTTTCGAGCTTACAATCTAGAAGGGAGGGGGTAGTGGTACAGGAGGAAATGGCTGTGGGGGATGGAGTGGTAGAAAGAATGAAGGAGATCGGCAATTAGGTGAGGGAGGGGTAGGCTTCCCTGAAGAGATGGGTTTTCAGGGTGCGCCTAAAGGTGAGGAGAGGAGGTAGGTGACAGTCTGATGGATTGGGGTAGTGAGTTCCAGAGGATGGGGGAGGACCTGGAGAAGTCTTGCAGTCGTGCGTGGTAGGAGGAGACCAGGGAGCAAGATAGAAGGGGGTCCTGTGAAGAGCGAAGGGTACAGGTAGGGTGGTACCTGGGAGTCAGGTTGGTGAGGTAGTTAGGGGCAGTGTTGTGAATGGCTTTGTAGGTCAGAGTGAGTAGTTTTTGAATTTGATGCGTTGGGCAATAGGGAGCCAGTGGAGGGATAGGCAGAGGGGGGTGGCAGAGGTGGAGCGGTTGGTGAGGTGGATGAGTCTAGCCGCTGAGTTCAGGAGGGTCTGAAGAGGGGAGAGCCTGCACTGGGGTAGGTCGGTGAGGAGGGAGTTGCAGTAGTCGAGGCGTGAGATAATCAGGGAGTGTACTAGTACTTTAGTGGTGTCTGGGGTAAGGAAGGAGCGTATCTTGCCGATGTTGCAAAGGTGGAGCCTGCATGTTTTTGTAAGTGATTTTGACATGAGGTTGGAAGGAAAGGAAAGCCATGTGCCCAGCTGCTCTCTGCCCAGCGCTGCTCCTCTTCCCAGACTTCCCTGCCAAGGCTCCTGACCCCCATGATGGAGCGCTGGCCGCAGGAGGGGACAGCCCGGCTGCCGTAGCTGAACATCTCCCACGCCAGATCCCCACCTGGACCGGCACCTCATCAGGGGAGGAGCCGTTACCATGGCGACAACTCCATGAAGCTGGCAGGGGGAGGGTCTGTCTCCACGAGGTTCCACACCCACGAGCTCCGCCGTGAATGGAGATTCCTCCCGGCCACCCCGCCAGCAGAGGCAGGAGAGTGCCCTGCCAATGGGGGGCTCCCAGGTTGACACTCTGGGGGAGGAGCCCAGACTAAACCGCTCCAGAGGCCAAGGCCTTCAAGCGTGTGGGCACTCCCGTCCCCCTGCTGCTGGCACCGAGCCCAGGTCCCCCAGCACTGCCAACACCCGACTCTGCAGCCAGGCAGCAGCACCCCAGGAAGCAGCAGCCTCCTGCAGCTGGGACATCAGCCCCTCCATGTCTATGAAGGCCCCGGACACTGAACTCCCTGATCACCTGAATGGGGAAAGCTTAAGCTCGCTCTCCGCTGTCTCCTCCTTCACTGAACTGACGAACCTCCCCATCCACACCCAAAGGTTTTGAAGACCCCACCCTACACCCCCCAGTTACCAATCAGGTAACTTGCCCATATCCTAACTCCCACCTTTTCCTTTTTAACCCTTTCCTGTCTTTACTAACCCCCTCTAAACCTAGTCATGTCTGCCCTGCACTATTTTCTTTTCCTTCTTTTTGCTATGGGCATCTCTGGAGAATTGTTGTTTCGAGTTAGAGAATATCTGCTTTACAGTAATGGATACTGCCAGAACAAAAACGTTTCCTAATGGTGGCAGCTGGAGAGTTAATGTATGGTGCGAGAGTATGTGCACCAGTGAAGCCTGTCTCAGACTAGACGGGATTGTTGTCAGTGTCTGTGCAACAGAAGATGTCTGCTATACAGTTGTCAGTGACAGAGCATTTTCAAGTGGTGGCAGTGAAAGGGTTAACCTGCAGCGTGGGAAAGTGTCTGCTCATCAGGGAGAGTTGGTGTCCAAGGCCAACCAATCCAGAGAGAGGGGTGGAGCTAAGCTACAATTTCCAGGTGTAGCTGAGGGAGAACTACGTGTGAGGAGTGGCAAGATGGCTGCAACAGGTGTGCTTGTGGGAGCTGCCGTGAGAGGTAGTGAACTTTCAGTATGACTGACCGACACTGGAGTATGCTTGATCGTCCGCGGGATTCTGCAGAGGAGAAAACGGAGACCGCTTAGGAATGGTATGTGGCAGATGCCAGAGTATGACCGTGAAGCAGGGCCGGTGTGATCATTGCAGAGACATGTTGCTTGAAGTGCTAATAGAAAATTGGGAAACAAGGTTCAGCACAGAAGAGCTACCTGCTGCGGCTGCCCGCTTAGCTTCCAGGGGAGACAGTCAAGCTAGACAGATGCCACTGGGGCCATACAAGTAGTGCATACCCACACTACTATCTGCCAGACCAGGGAGACTAGCATTGTTTCTGTGTGAGACACTCACCCAGCCAAGGCTGAACGGCAACAAGGCGCTTAAACAGCAGTTGCCATTAGTAATCTGCAAGTGGAGACCCAAGTCACAAAAGCCTACAGTTTGCAGAGACTAGCATCCTCAGGTTCTTCAGGAGAGGAGGAACCAGGAGCTATTGACATGGGATCACCCAGATTTCTACTGTTATTATTATTATTATTATTATTCAAGATATATATCCAAGTGGCTAGTGTACCAGGAGCATCTATTTAAAAAAAAAAAGATCAGACCTTTTGTGTGAAGTTTGCTACAGTGGCTATGAGAGAGAAATCCCTCTATTTCCAAATCCCTTTTCCTTATCCTTGCAAATTAAAGGGTCTGTCTGGGGATTACTGCTATCTTCAGGAGGACTTCTCCCATCCAACACCTAGGACTACACTCTGGAGGGGTTAAACCTCTGGTGCACAGAGAACTTAGGACATACTGTATGGCCAATTAGCCACTGCTTTCTTCAAGTCAAGTGTATGTGGGTTGCTGTTGTGGCTAATGGACAGCTGTTCACTTCTGTTCTTCTCTAGTGTAAGAAGAAAGACTTCCTATTGAAAGCTTCTCCAATTGGGACCTCCTGGCCTCCGACCAAGCGGAGAAGGCCCTACACTGGTCCAGACATAAATTTTATTCTTGTGCAAACCAGGGGCCATGTTGGCCCGGAAACTGAACTCTTTCAGCCGCCCTCACAAACCCATCGAGCTGTGAACGACTGGGCGTAACCTGTCTTCAGACCCTAAGAAAATTGTGGAGTCCGTTGCCGCTTTCCTCTCTTCTCTTTACAACAAACCAGCCCCATTCTCTACCGATCGGACTGATGCCTTTTTTCAAGACCTTAACCTCCCAGCTTTATTTGCGACTGCTCGTGACACGTTAAACTTAACCATCACACCGAACTGGAAGTGGCGAACTGGAAGTGGCGCCATTAAATCCATCCATCCCTCAAAAGCCCCAGAACCTGATGGCTTCTCTGGTCTGTACTACCGCAAGTTTTCCTAACTACTGGTCCCCCATTTTATAGCCTACTTCACGCCTTGCGTGAGGGCGAAAAACCCTCCACATATGCGCTCCGAGCACATATCTCTATGATCCCGAGTCTGAAGCCCACGACCCCCAGGCCTTCCATCCAATTTCCCTGTTGAATGAAGACATGAGGTTCCTCTTCTCACTGGACATCTTCAAGGCATTCAACGCCCTCTCTTGGGACTACCTTAGATATGTGTTAAATCAGTGTGACTGTCAGGGCTCCCAGGTATGACCAGAGGTGTGTGACTGATGCAGGGAAACGCAGACTTCAGATATGTGATAAACAATACAATTTATTAACACTAACCATACAAACATAAACGCAGTGCAATACTAAACATAATACAGTGCAAACAAACCAAACCAAACCACCCACAGATAACAGTACATACAAGCAAGCGTCGTCAGGCAGGCCGGGTCAATATCAATTGGGCAGGTAGGTACAGGGGGAGCAAGCAGAGAATGGTCGGGGTCACAGGCCAGGTTCAGCAGGTAGCAAGCAGCGTAGTACAGAGGGTCAGGCAGAGGGATGGTCAGGGTCACAAGCCAGGGATCAAAACAGGTAACAAGCAGCGTAGTACAGAGGGTCAGGCAGAGGGCCAGAAACAGGATGCAGGACAGATACAGGGCCCAGGACAAACACAACACCAAGGCAGAGTCTGTGGGTCTGGCCATCCCTTAAATACCCCAGCATCATCAGTTCCAGGTGTTAGCTGGCTGAAAGGTTGAGTCTCTGATTGCTGGGAGCACCCGCTGGCCAGCCCTGGTACTGCAGATCAAAAGGCAGGTGAGTCCCACCATTGCTGGCCAGTCCATTCCTAACAGTACCCCCCCCCCCCCCCAAGGAGTGGCCTCAGGACGCTCCAAACAGTCCTAGCTGGGCAAAATGTTCCACCGCCCGGGTCTGGTAACTGGCGGGATATCAAAGACTGGCACACCGGGCAGGACTCCAGGCAGCGGCACACCGGGCAGGACTCCAGGCAGCGGCACACCGGGCTGGACTCCGGGCAGAGGCACACCGGGCTGGACTCCGGGCAGAGGCACACCGGGCAGAGGCACACCGGGCAGAGGCACATCGGGCAGGACTCCGGGCAGAGGCACATCGGGCAGGACTCCGGGCAGAGGCACATCGGGCAGGAGTCCGGGCAGAGGCACATCCGGCAGGACTCCGGGCAGAGGCACATCGGGCAGGACTCCGGGCAGAGGCACATCGGATTACCAGGCGAAGCAGCAGGCAGTGGGCCACCAGGCGGAGCAGCAGGCACCGGGCCCCCGGGCGGAGCAGCAGGCACCGGGCCCCCGGGCGGAGCAGCAGGCACCGGGCCCCCGGGCGGGGCGACATGCATCGGGCCCCCAGGCGGAGCAGCAGGCACCGGGCCCCCGGGCGGGGCAACCGGGCCCCCGGGCGGGGCAGCAGGCACCGGGCCCCCGGGCGGAGCAGCAGGCACCGGGCCCCCGGGCGGGGGGGCGACAGGCATCGGGCCCCCGGGCGGGGCGACAGGCACCGGGCCCCCGGGCGGAGCAGCAGGCACCGGGCCCCCCGGGCGGAGCGAGCAGCAGGGCACCGGGCCCCCGGGCGGAGCAGCAGGCACCGGGCCCCCGGGCGGGGCGACCGGCGTCGGGGCCCCCGGGCGGGGCGGCGGGCGCCGGGCCCCCAGGAGGGGCGACAGGCATCGTGCCCCCAGGCGGGGCGACAGGCATCGTGCCCCCAGGCGGGGCGACAGGCATCGTGCCCCCAGGCGGAGCGGCGGGCGCCGGACCCCCAGGCGGAGCGACAGGTCTCGGGCCCTCAGGCGGAGCGGGCGGGCGCCGGACCCCCAGGCGGAGCGACAGGTCTCGGGCCCTCAGGCGGAGCGGCGGGCGCCGGACACCCAGGAGGAGCGAAGGGTCTCGGGCCCTCAAGCGGAGCGGCGGGCGCCGGACCCCCAGGCGGAGCGACAGGTCTCGGACCCTCAGGCGGAGTGGCGGGCGCTGGACCCCCAGGCGGAACGACAGGTCTCAGGCCCCCAGGCGGGGCGGCGGGCACCGAGTCACCAGGCACAACCGTGGGCTCCGAGTCAACTGGGATGACCGCTGGCACTGGGTCAGACATTGGATCGTCTGGCTGGACAGCGGGCATCGGGTCACCAGGCATCAGGTCATTTGGCTCGACAGCGGGCACCGCGTCATCTGGCAAGGCAGTGGGCTCCGAGTCAACAGGCACGACAGTGAGCACCGGGTCATCAGGTACCGGATTGTCTGGCTCGACAGCGGGCATCGGGTCACCAGGTATGACAGCGGGCACTGGGTCACCAGGCATCAGGTCATTTGGCTCGACAGCGGGCACCGGATCAGGTACCGGATCATCTGGATCAACAGCGGGCATCGAGTCAACTGGCCTAATAGGATCGTCAGGCTGGATCAGTTCATCAGGCCGAGTAGAGGCTTCAGGCCGAGTAGAGGCATCAGGCCGAGTAGAGGCTTCAGGCCGAGTAGAGGCATCAGGCCGAGTAGAGGCTTCAGGCCGAGTAGAGGCTTCAGGCCGAGTAGAGGCTTCAGGCCGAGTAGAGGCATCAGGCCGAGTAGAGGCATCAGGCCGAGTAGAGGGCTTCAGGCCGAGTAGAGGCATCAGGCCGAGTAGAGGCTTCAGGCCGAGTAGAGGCTTCAGGCCGAGTAGAGGCATCAGGCCGAGTAGGCAGGCATCAGGCCGAGTAGAGGCTTCAGGCCGAGTAGAGGCTTCAGGCCGAGTAGAGGCATCAGGCCGAGTAGTAGGCTTCAGGCCGAGTAGAGGCTCAGGCCGAGTAGAGGCATCAGGCTGCATACAGGCATCAGGCTGCATACAGGCATCAGGCTGAAGAGAGGCATCAGGCTGCGTACCGGCATCAGGCTGAGTAGAGGCATCAGGCTGAGTAGAGGCATCAGGCTGAGTAGAGGCATCAGGCTGAGTAGAGGCATCAGGCTGAGTAGAGGCTTCAGGCTGAGTAGAGGCTTCAGGCTGAACCACGGAAGGCAGGCTCACCGGTTTGGATACTGGCAGGATGGTATTGGTTGGAAAGAATTTTCGCTTTTTTCTGGTTTTAACTACTGGAGCACTGCAAGTAAACGCAGGTCTGCAAACGAATGGAGCAGCTGGAGACAGAGAAGAACTGGAGGATGGAACAGGAGAGGGAGCGGTTGCTACAGAGGGCTCTTTTACAGGGTTAAAGGCAGGATAGGTGCAGCGAGTGGGAACAGGGTACTGACATGCGGTAGATAGCAGGGCAGGAGGAGCTGTTGGGAATGCAGGAATAGAGTTTTGAGGAAATAGATTAGAAGCAGGACTGGGTCTTTGTAAGCTGACTGAGGCTGGGTGCAACAAATCTGTCCATGTCTGCAGTATGGGTTGAACAAAGCTGAGCTTACACAAAGCCTGTCTGGTCAATGACTGTACTGCGTTTATACAATCTCTTAGTGTCTGTGGTGAACATGTGGAATAACGCTCCAGAAAGTAACCCACATCATCCTCTAATAACCACACCAGGGACTCTACCTGGTCTGCACTAAATGGTGGCAAAAATTCATCCCTGCATTCGGGGGAACCAGATGAAACCAACTCAGCACAAACCTCAATCAAAGGCTGCACCTCAGAGAACTCTGTGCCCTGATCTACTAGAACATGAGCGAGCCGTATACATTCTAGCAGTTCATCCCGGGTATACTCCTTCAGAGTTTGATAAGCATACTTCCTGTCATCAAACACTAGCAGATATAAATATTCAACCTCATCAAGATCCATCCTTCCCATCAACAAGCCAAGATGGCTTCCCTGTGCAGCCACTTCTGGTCAGGATTGGCCTTGGTGTAATGTCAGGGCTCCCAGGTATGACCAGAGGTGTGTGACTGATGCAGGGAAACGCAGACTTCAGATATGTGATAAACAATACAATTTATTAACACTAACCATACAAACATAAACGCAGTGCAATACTAAACATAATACAGTGCAAACAAACCAAACCAAACCACCCACAGATAACAGTACATACAAGCAAGCGTCGTCAGGCAGGCCGGGTCAATATCAATTGGGCAGGTAGGTACAGGGGGAGCAAGCAGAGAATGGTCGGGGTCACAGGCCAGGTTCAGCAGGTAGCAAGCAGCGTAGTACAGAGGGTCAGGCAGAGGGATGGTCAGGGTCACAAGCCAGGGATCAAAACAGGTAACAAGCAGCGTAGTGCAGAGGGCCAGAAACAGGATGCAGGACAGATACAGGGCCCAGGACAAACACAACACCAAGGCAGAGTCTGTGGGTCTGGCCATCCCTTAAATACCCCAGCATCATCAGTTCCAGGTGTTAGCTGGCTGAAAGGTTGAGTCTCTGATTGCTGGGAGCACCCGCTGGCCAGCCCTGGTACTGCAGATCAAAAGGCAGGTGAGTCCCACCATTGCTGGCCAGTCCATTCCTAACAGTGACTTTGGGGACTCTTTTTTTACCTGGCTATCGACTCTGTATTCTGCTCCCAAGGCCTCTGTCCATTATGCAGGCTTCTCATCTGCCCCTTTCTCCATTGCCCATGGAACCCGTCAGAGGTGCCCTATCTCATTGGTCCTTTTCATTTTGGCCCAGGAACCCTTGACGGTAGTGTCACGATCGCGGCATCAGACCCCAGACCTTCTCACCAAACTTGTGACCGAAGGACTAGCCAATCTAGAACCGTGATGTGACGTGCGTAACAATGCCACATCCAGCTGCACCCTGCACAACGATTTTCCAGCTAACGGGCCACAATTGATCTACCGGCAGCATGGGCGATTGTTACTGGATCAGGTTAGTTACGCAATTAACCCTTCACACTGCCACCACCTCCTTTTTGTACAGAGAAAGAGGAAACTCGGCGTTATCAGCTATAACACTATAATGATTGAGATAATCGTCTGTATAAAACGTTCCGCAGGCCGGTTATGCAGAGGTTTAAACAAACACAGTAGCGTTCTCTTTAGAGGCAGGAATTCGTAAATTGCAATAAACGCTATAGAAACAGTTCAACACTTTCAGAAGGAAAGATTTATTACTAAAAGGTCAAACGGGTGCAATAAAAATGTTTACAGAAAAAGATGTACCTAAGATATATATATACATATACAAAGAACCATAGCACAGCAAAGAGATATCAGAGACAGGTGAAAGGGTTAAAGTACTTGCCAAAGTCCTGGGTTAGCAGATCCAAGTTTTAGAGCAGAAGGGTGCTTTGATCTCCCTATGTTACGATGGTCAATGGGAGAATTCTCCCTCTTAGGCCTGACAGCCTGTTTTGTAGTCCCCAGCAGGGGGTTGCTCTGACGCCACGGACCAATACCTCGTGTAGGCGTGGAGGTCTGGGTGTCGACCTAGAGTCAAAATCTCGTGTAGTTCATATTTGGGCTCATAACTTTTCCTACGCACAAGTGACATTCCACCAGCGGGTAGATTATTATGCAGACAAGTCTGAGGATTGATTAGCTATGAATTATGAAAGTGTACACTGAACTATTTTTCAGCTTTTTCTATTTTTCTGCTTTCCTGTGTGTCCGAGACAAGGCGAGTGACCCATCAAACTGTTCGCCTGCTCATCGTCCATCTGACGATATGTCCGGTTTTTATGTAAGTCTCTCATATTCCAAGATATGAAACATAGGGGAAAAATGGATTTTAACACAAGGTTATCTGGTCGTTATTCCTTGGAATGTTCTTTGAACTCCTGGGAAAGCTTGCCTTATCTTATACGAGGTGTGATATGGTACAGCTCGCCCAGACAGCTAGGCACCTAGCTCAGAGATGTTTTATGGCTCTGGGGTTCCCTGCTGCCTTGGCCTGCCAGTGACCCTCAACCAGCACACACACACTGGCCAAATGTCTCCTCCCTGAGAGGGAGGGGAAGGGAGTGAGGGGAGAAAAATGGATACTCTTAACAAATTGGCGGACTGCTTCAGTCTCTGTTGCGCACGTTTGCGACAGGTAGCCCTTCGCACTGACCCTAACATCACGGGATTCCCAATGCTGGGGTATCCTACAAAGTGAATCTGTTTGCAGATGATGCCCTCCTGACCCTGTCCAACCCTATCACCACACTTCCTAACCTAAACTCCTTACTCTCCGGTTTCGTGCCCATCTCGAGCCTCCAAATCAACCCCCATAAAACAATAGCCTTGAACGTCTCCCTTCTTGATTCCATGGTTTTCCATCTCCAATCTTCCTTCCCTTATCACTGGGCAACCTCATCCCTAAACTACTCAGGCATTCACCTGACCCCTTCCTACTCCTCCCTCTTTGTGCGCACTCTCTCCTCTCTCATGACCTCTTGGCATTTTCCCTCTCTGTCGTGGATATGGGAAATCAACGCGATCAAGATGACTGTGCTTCCTCCTGACCCTTCCAACTAGAGTCCCAGTCTTCTACCTGCGTTCCCTCCAAAATAATATCCTGGCCTTTTTTGGGCCCACAAACGCTCCAGAGTTGCCCTCACCACCCTTTACACCAACAGATTAAGAGGGGGGTCTTGGAGTCCCAAATGTGGCCAAATACTATCTGGTGGCCCAAAATCTCACAACTTGCAATGTTACCCGCTACCTCGGACATCCCTCTGTGGGTGCTTTTGGAAATTCCCAATTGTGCCCCTGTCCCGGTTTCTGCCCTTCTCTGGCTTCCTCCTACCTCCTGTCCTTCCCCCTTAGTCCCCCTCTGGTTCACAGCCTATGCCTTTGGGACTCGGTACTCTACTCAGCTAATTTGCTATCCTCCCGCTATCTCCCTTCTGAACAATCCTTTGTTCCCCCCTGGACTAGACCAGTTCCACGCCTTTGCCTGGTGGCATGCCCATGGATATTCTCAAGTACGTAACTTCTTAAATTCCCACTCCTTTCCTTCTTGGGCCTCCATCTGTGAGACCCACGAGCCCCTCCAGTTGAATTGTACCTTTATCTTCATCTCCATCACTGGATCTCCTTTCTTTTCGCTGCAATTCTTCGTTTCCATTTCAAACGGCCTTTGAGAACATCTGTCTGCATTCTCCCAGTGCCCGAGGCACCATTTCCTCTATTTATGCCTCCCTATCTGCAGGGAATTCACACCGCCCTCACCCATACATCTCGAAATGGGAAAGTGATCTCACAACTTCCATTGATCTAGAGGATTGGAACAAAGCCTAGTCCGCTGTAGCCAAATGCTCATTGGCCACCATGGAGGCAGCATACAAAATTCTCCTCCGCTGGTATTTGCTCCCAGCTCGCATTGCTCACTCAAACCCATCATGTGTTGATAGATGTTTTAGGGGCTGTGGCCTATGGAGATGAGATCCAAATCTGCCCCCGCCTGGTAGGCTTCTGGGCCTTGGTCTATGGCCTCCTTTCAACCCTATTTGACACTTCCTTCCGCAGAGACCCCTAATTTGTGCTTCTCCACTGCCCACTTCCCGGCCTTTTGTCCCATCAGCAAGAACTAGCCACATACCTCTTCGTAGTGGCAAAATGCGCCATTTCCTGAGCTTGGAAGAAGCCCACTGTCAGATTTGCCAAATTAAGGAACATTTTAACTACCCTCATGGTTCATGAGAAAATGTGCAGCATACTCCATTACTCTCACTCCAAATTCCTCAAAATATGGAACCCATGCTGGTCTTATACTTTTCCCATTCTGCCCCATCTAGTCTGGGTATCCCAGTCCACTAGAGGATGCTCCCGCTCACAGGCAC